TGTGATAAAGACGATGTGATAATGTTTTTAAAAAAAAATCTTTATTTATAAATTTAACGCTGCGTTAAAAGTCAAAAGACACAACAACACAAGTCTCTTTACAACATTAATTTAATTTAGATAAATCCTCCCTCCCCCCGAAAAAAAAAAAAAAACAGGCGGATATGTACGAGAGAGAGAGAGAGAGAGAGTGAGTGAAAGAAAGAGAGGGGTTAGCGTACGAATAAGGCTGGAAATAAATTCGAAAACACGGTCCCCGGATTAAGGCCTCCTTCTTTCCATTTTTTCCTTTCCTATTTACCACCTCCATCATCCTCTCGATCCTATATTCACATTTGCTCTCTCTCTCTCTCTCTTTCTTTCTTTCTCTCTCATTCTAAATTCCAAAAAAAAAAAAAAACACTTGTAAAAATAAATAAGGAAAAAAAAGGTATTTCGAAATTTTTAATGCGTTTTTTCTTTTTCCTTTTTCTTCTTCCACGTTTTATTTTAACTTGACTCGTATTAAATAAAAATCAATACAAAAATTAAAGGAACGATTTAGATTAACAAAAAAAAATTTAAATAATAATAATAATAATAATAATAATAATGATAATGATAATGATAAAATTTTATCCACGACATTTTACAATTTGTTATTGTCAAATAATAATTATTATTTTTTATAATTTTAAATTTTACCTTTTTTTTCTTTTCCCCTTCCTTCCTTCCTTCTTTCCTTCCTTTTCTCTCTCTCTCTCTCTCTTTTCGTCTCTCATATTCGTGTCACCATTTATTTATTTATTTATTTATTTTTAGAATTTTTAAGAAGTTTATTTAAGTAAATTTAAAAAAAAAAAATTATTATTATTTTTTTCTTTAAAGTTTTAATTGATTAAATCATTATTATTATTTTTAACGTTTTTTTTTTCCAACCATACTGCTACTACCATTAGCAACCCAAATCGACTGCTGTCACTTTTTACTGCCACGTTTTAACATAAGGAAAATTTTTTTTTAAAAATATAAAAGTATTTACACGTAATCATCGAACCGTAATTTAAAAGTTAAGGTTAAAATATTTTTTTAAATTTAGCGCTTTATATATATAGAGAGAGAGAGCCGAATTTATTTAAATATATATATATATGAAAGAGATAGAGAGAGATAGAGAAAGAGAGAAAAGAGTAATTTAAAAAGTTTTAAAGTCAAATTTGTTTGATTTGTGTAGATAAAATATAATTTAAATGAGAATTTTTCAAATGGGAAAAGAAACAGGTGGGCGAAATAGCTGGAAGATGATTTTTTTTTCCTTCTTCTTTTTTAACAAAAAAAAATTAATTATAGATTTAGAAAATGGTTGTTTTGAAACGAACGAGAGAAATTAAATTTAAATGGTTTTTATTTATTACCCGCGAGTGGTTAAAGTAGTAGTGGTGACGATGGTGGTAGTGGTAAAATTATCAATAATGTCGAACTAAAAAGGGGGTGTGTGTATTTATTTATCGAAAAGGGGTTAAAAATAAATAATCCAAGTTTTTTTTTAACGCTATAAAATGATAAAGACCGTAATGCGATTACAAATTATATACATATAGCGCGCTATAAAAGGGTTAAAATATAAATTTAATGATAAATAAGTACATGAAAGAAATATAATTTAAAAAAAAGGGGAGGAAGATATTTTCGAATTCTATATGAGTAAAATCCCTGGGATTTTTTTTTTTTTTTTGACTGCGTTGGGAATTTTGGGAAATTCGGAGGAAAATCGCGCGTTTTCTTCTTGATAAAATATTTGAAAGTTGCTTGAAATTTTTTTTTATATATATAAAAATTGGGTAATTAATTGTTTCAGATTAAAAATGGCTTCGAGGTGGTTGTTTATGACGACCGCATTGATAACCATTCAAACGACTCCAAGTTCAACGTACGAAGAACAAAGATTTGCTATGGAACCACAAAATCAAACAGCAATCGTCGGGTCAAGAGTGACTCTCCCATGTCGGGTCATTAACAAAAGTGGAGTTCTCCAGTGGACAAAAGACGATTTCGGATTGGGCCCGTATAGAAATTTAAGCGGTTACGATCGATATAGAATGATCGGAAGCGACGAAGAAGGTAAGAAGAAATAAATATTATTTTACTAAAACGGGTGTTTCCCTGGGGGAGGAGGAGTGAGAGGGAGGGGAAGGAAAAGAAAAAGAACTTTGAGAATTTGCGACAAACGAACGGCAAACAATCGAAAGAATTTTTTTTTTTTTAATCTGAAAAGAACGGGTTATTTTATTATTATTATTATTATTATTATTATTATTATTATTATTATTATTATTATTATTATGATTTTTTCCTTTGTGATCTTTTGAAGACCTACGAGTTTATTAGCAATTATCGTAATTGGGTTTTAAAAATACGGCAAACCTAACACAAAAGCTTTTATAAAATAAAACATCCTTTTTTCCTTTTTTTCTTGTGTTCGGTTTCGACGTTTTTCCCTTTTTTTTTTTTTTTTTTTGTTTTCCTGCATACTACGGTTTCGGGGAAATTTTTTTTCCTTCTTTTTTGTATAGGTTGCCATTTTCTCGGGGGTAGGGAGGGGTAGAAAAAAAGCTTTTTTTTCTCTTCTTTTAAATGGCTTGAGGTTTCTTTTTTCATTTAAAAAAAAAAAAGATGTCCATTTTCAAAAGTATCCTTTTTAATTTTTCCTTTTTTTTTCTTTTTTTCTTCGTCTTAAAAAGAAAGAAAATGTTAAGAAAGATTTTGAATGAATTCATTCAAAAGTTAAAGAAGGAGGAGACAAAAAAAAAGCAGAAGAAAATTTTTTTTTTTTAATTAATAAACGATGTAAAATAAACGTGAAAAAAATACCGAAATAAAAACCGTTTAATTATTACTTTTGTTTATAACATTTTTTAAAATAATGATAATAATGATAGTGAGTTTTAAAAAGAAAAAAAAATCAATTTTTTTTTTTTACGTAATCGATATCGAAACTATCGATTCCGTTATTTAATAGTTTAATTTCCGGTTTTTGCGATAATTTTCCCCTTTTTGTGATTTTTTACTCCTAAAAAAAATCTAATGAGTTTTAATAGGTTACGAAATGGAGAAATTTTATTAGGTTTTTTTATTTACAACCTCGTCGAAATTGATAAGTGATAAAAAAAAAAAAAAAATTGTTGAGACATTTTTTTCTAATGCGAATTTATTACGAACTTTTTCGGACATCGAGATGATCGAAACGGAAGGAAACAAATGAGCAGACATACATTAGTATTTCCGGTGGAAAACCGAAATAATTAACGTATACCACGTCATTGGCAGTCGTACCACAGTACAAAAAAAAAAAAAAAAATTGACAAATCGCCAGAATCAAAAAATTAAAACTAAAAAGTCATTCGAGATATCACTGAAAGCGGCGCCATATTTTTCAAGGTCATCAATTCTGTCATGAATTTATTTATCTCGCATACTAAATCCAGTTTAAGGCGCTATTAAAAAAATTTAATTTAATTTAAATCCAGACTGGAAAAAATTCCGTTATAAAATTAATAATAATAATAATGATAATAATGATAATTTTTTTTTTTGGTAGCGTGTAAACATTAAAAAAAATTTTTAGTAAATAAATAAGAATAAAATCCTTAAATCTATAAAAATCGAGTTTTTTTGTTAATAAATTTTATTTTATAAAAATAATTTAATGTTAAAGTTTGATAGGTGCAAGAGGAGGAAGGGAAAAGTGGGGGGGGTTGGGGGAGACGTTACGCGAAATAAAATCGATAAATTTTTTTTTCTCTTTTTGTGAAAATAGAAAATGTTGCGCGTAGAATGTATTTTCTCTTACTACATACTACATCACGTAGTTTTAATAAGTTTAAATCTTTCCAACGTTTCCGCCTTGTTTCGTTTTTACAATTTTCCAACCTACAGTTTTTCCTTTTTCACTTCTTTACCACCGTCAACGTTTCTCTCTCTCTTACCACCTTGGAAAACTTCTTCTCGTTCATTTCTTCAATAAGTTAAACTTGTCAAATGGGAACTTTATTACATATGTTATTTCCTCAATTACTTAATTCTTAGAAATTTCAAAGGTATTTTTATTCCTCCCTTTTTTTTCTTCGGGAAAACTTTGAGGTCGTAGAAAGAGAGAGAGAAAAATATAAGATTCTTTAGGGAAAGAAAAAGGTAAGGAAATAAATGATAAATAAGCCGATGAATTTTTTTTTTTGTTAGTTTACGGTAAAAGCTTTCAGAATAAAAATGGTTTTATATTTAAAAAAAAAAATAATAATTAATGTAAATGTTAAATTCTGTTTAATTTCTCATGATTGTGACAAAACTAAAAAAGAAGAAGGAGAGGAAGGAGGAGGAGGAAAAGAAGAAGAAGCTTTTTATTTAAAAAAAAAAAAAAGAAGTGAAAAAAAGTTAAATTGTCACATCAACAGCCATGTGTTGTTGTTGTTGTAATTTCCTGTATACAAATTTTTTTTTTTCCATTCCATCTCTCTCTCTCTTACTTTTCGTTTTCATATTTCTCTCTCTCTCTCTCTCTCTTTAATACAAACACACACATTTTAATGCCAGACACCATCGCACCAAACGACGTTTATTTTATTTTATTTTTTTTTTTTACATACACTTTTGTTAATTAATTATTTCAACAGTCGAATAGGCGGCACTTGTTGCTAATGTTTGTTAAACGATGTTAATACATTTTTTTTTTTAAATATCGAAGAATGTTTGCTTGAGATTTTAACATATCGATAGATCGATAATTCGATTAATTTTTTTTTTTTAAATCTAATTAGCATAAAAAATCGTAAAACGTAGAGAGAAACCGTACCTTTTTTAAAAAAAAAAAGAGAGTTAAGGTTTTTTTAATAGTCTTTAAAAAGGTGAGAAAGAAATGGGAAGGGGGGTGGGGGTGGGGGTGAACACGCAAAGGGCAAAAAACAAAAATAAAAAGAATTAAATAAAAAAAAAATTTTTTGTTTTAGTTTTTTTCTTAAAAAATTACCATCGTCTAGGAAAATTGGGTTTCCATTCACCGCAACCGTCCAAAAACTTAGTAAACGGTTTCTTTTATTACCAAATCGTTAATTGTAATAAAAGCACTCGGGCTAAGAATGAAGAAAGTTGGTTCTTAACTTGCCAGAAAGTAGAAAAGTTTAATCGTAACAAAGATTCTAATGTCTTTAATAATGAATTTCGACATTTTCTTTATTCCAACAATGGAAAATAAATTTTTATTTAACTTTAAAATTGGTTAAGCGAAAAAAAAAGGAAGGAAAAGGAAAAAAAGGAAAAATTTATTTTGAAATAAAAAGGAAAAATAGGAAAAACGAATTCGCAAAAATCCTTATTACAATTATAACAAATAATATAATGTGAAAAAAAGATTTTTTTCCTTTTTTTTCCCACGTACGTGATGTCAACCTTTTGTCGACCCATCATCCGCCATGATGATGGGAGGTGGGAGGGGCGATGCCCTCCTCCCCTCTCCCCAACATCATCACCCTGGCGATCGTGAAACATTTTCTTTTTTTCCTTTCCTTTCCTTTTTTTTTTTTAGTATTCTTAAATAATCCTCTTATTTTCCTTTTATAGTCATTCAAATGGATTTTATATTTGACAAAAAAAATCCTCTTACGTTTTTTTTTTTTAAATAAAAAAACCTCTGGATTCGCCACTGAATATAGAAGCCAAAAATATATAAAACTATGATGCCATATATATACTCGCACACGCACATACGCACACACACCAAAGTAATACGATTATAATTTTTATTATTTCTTTTGTTAAATTTATAATTAATTTTATACACGTATATTTGATTTACTTTTTTTTTTCTTTTTTTTAATTTTTATTTTTTACACATATAAAACGTGCGCAAATTTTTTTTCCTTTTTTTGCTGTTTACCTCACGATGACGTTTAATAATAATAATAATAATATTACAGTAATTTTTTACATACGAATTCTTACAAATTTTTCTTTGTCCTTTTTTTTTGTGCCTACTTAATGCTCGTTCACCGCAAATAAAAAAAAAAAAGTAACCCTTAAGGGATTATATCGCCGCCTCTTTTCCACCCCCCCCCACGGCTCTCGCCTGAGGGTAACGAAAAAGTTTTTTTTTTATTTGCAGCGGCGGAAATTACTAGAAAACCTTTTCCCCTTCTCCTCCAAAAAAATTTTGTTTTCCTTGGAATCATCTCGACTAGTAAATAAAAATTAAATGTAAAAAGAAAAATTCGCAACGTGCATCATATCAACGACGTCATCGTCGGTTTTTGTTGTTATTTGATAGCGAAATATTTTACCTTATTAAAACTCCTAGTTGAAACCCTTCCCTTCCCTCCCTTCCCCCCTCCTCTTACCACTTTATTATTATTTTTTGTTTTTTTTTATAGACTCGCTATATTACACGTTTACGACGACTTTTATAGATTTTATAGAGCGCTTTATAATAATAAACGAGAGAATTTTATTAGTTATAAGGGAAGAAAATTGTGGGAAAAATGGAGAAGGGAAGGAAAGGGAAGAAAGGGAGATGAATGAAATAAGGATGAAAAATGGAAACGAAAGAGAAAAAAAAAAAGGATGGGGGGATTTGAAAAATAACAAAAAAAATTTTTTTTTTTTGTTTTCGTTTTTTTAATCATTATTATTATCATTATCATTATTATTATTAAATTAATTGTAATTTTATCAGAGAATAAAGTTTAAATAATTAAATGGAAGTTAGTCATCCAGGAACCGAAGGAAGTTGACAGTAACTTTCATCTAAACTTTTGTTACTTCCTTTGCTTAGTCAGACATTTCATAAATTAATTAATAGCTGTGAGACGCTCAACGGATCTTCACAATTAAAATCAATTTAAAAAAAAGGGGGGTCAGTGGGGGAGAAAGGCGAGGAGGAAGAGAGAATTTTTTTTTTTAATGGGGGACCAAAATTAGAATGAGAGTAAATAAAAAAAAAATTTTTTCATTATCATTCCTCTTTTCTAACTCCGCGTCGCGAGTATTTTTTTTTCCTTAATTATTATTGCTTATATTTTTTAGGTATTTTCAGGTACGATGATAATGCACGTAATAAAGTTTTTTGATAATGATAATGAAACTGATAATGAAAACAAAAAGTTTATATTAATTTTTCTCTTATTCGAAACGTTCATGCAAAACGTCGTAGTAGTGCGCGATGACGTAACACGCTTAAATTTTTTTCTCAATTCTGATTGGCTGATCGTTCGGTCTTCCTTTTTTTCTTTATTTTCGAATGAAATTTTGAATTCATTTTAATTCATTATTATTACGTAACGATTGACTTTTTTTAAATAAAATGTTGAATGTTTTTTTTTTTTTAAATCGACCTTTTGACCTGAAAACGAAAAGAATATATATATATGTATGTAAAGATTATTTTAAGAATTGAAATCTGTTAACGACGAAAACTATTATTATTATTATTATTATTATTATTATTACTTTTTTCCCCGGTGAAAAATAAATGTTGAAATTCAATTTTTTTTTTTTTTTCATTCTCTCTCTCTCTCTCGTCTCTCTTTCTCTCTCTTTCTCATTTAATGTTTGAATGAA